CGTGAGACACAGAGAGAAAGGGAGAGAGAGAGAGAGAGAGAGAGAGAGAGAGAGAGAGAGAGAGAGAGAGAGAGAGAGAGAGAGAGGAAGAGAGAGAGAGAGAGAGAGAGAGAGAGAGAAGAGAGAGAGAGAGAGAGAGAGAGAGAGAGAGAGAGAGAGAGAGAGAGAGAGAGAGAGAAATTATGTGACTGACAGTGAACTGCATCTGTAAACTTTGTGTTCATTCTCCTACCAGATTTCATCTCTCTGAAGATTCTCACTTCATGAGAAATGGGACTATAATTTATATATATATATATATATATATATATATATATATATATATATATATATATATATATATATATATATATATATATATATATTAGTGCCACTTCTGTTATAACAGATAAAAAAAAGTCGCTGTCGTCATAACTCAGGACAGTCACTATTAATAATTAAGGTCTGGGGTCAAGGTGAATGGGTGAGCCTAACCCTGACATTCATCCTCGTGCACACACACACACACACACACACACACACACACACACACACCTGGAGGGGATTAGCGGGTCGGGAAAATGATACATGACCGCAAAATGCGCGAACCTTAATTAACATTGAAAGCTGCGAACTCTGCTGCTCCCCACCAGGATACACACACCAAGAGACGGGTCTCGGTGTTTATATACACTGAGAGTTTAGAATAATCCCAATTTTAGGGATTAAAGCAATCTTGACTGATGGCAGACAAATCTCATGCAGCCTTAACTCCCGTGTAGCCGATAGGCTTTAGACTCAAGTGGCTTCTGTCGACAACCAACTCTAACTACCGTAACTACCCTGAGCCAGCCACCGTTATTGCCTGATTACGTTCAGTTAACCATTGTAGTTACCGTGAGCCAATCATCATCGTTACTGCATAAATATTGTCAATCATCCACCGTAACTACTCTGTGTCAACCACCATAATCACATCATTTAACCACCATAACTACCCTAACTCAACCACCGTAACTATCTTAACTATCCTATTTTCTTCGTCAATTCATTCACTCTCACTAAAGAACATAGTCATAATACAGTAACTGTAACAATTCGCCAAAAACCCGGACTTAAGGAGAGAAACCTTGTGGCGACGTTTCGGTCCATTCTAGATCACTGCGAGTTTTGGGTGAATTTACTGCTGCATTTTAGTACCACTTCCGGTACACCTTATATTAAATTATGAAGTTTAGTACAGGAAGTCTAAAACTATTTCTGAAGACTCGCTCACCCTCATTTATCACATTTATCCGGGAATTTTAGTTTGTACCCTCTGTAACCACTCATATCTCCTTTCATCACTAGTGGTTTATATTGGATTGGGTATCGAAAGGTGCCTTTGGCACCTTTCAGAACCTGGTCTTCGTGCGTATCAGAGGACTTCGTATTATTTTTATCCCATCGACATGGTCCTTGATAAACATTAGAGATGTTGCGTCCTGAAGCCAATAACGTGCCTAGGGCACTCTGTAGCGTCCTGAAGGCATGAACGTGCCTAGGGCACTCTGTAGCGTCCTGAAGGCATGAACGCACCTAGGGTACTCTGTAGCGTCCTGAAGGCATGAACGTGCCTAGGGCACTCTGTAGCGTCCTGAAGGCATGAACGTACCTAGGGTACTCTGTAGCGTTCAGACAACCCTAACTATCTTAAATCATAACTCACGAACTCGTATTTGGGCCTAACTACCTAAAGGCAATAATTTAATTACATAATTGAATTGTTACCCATTGCCTTATTTTGGACCATCTCAGTGGAAGCAAACAACAGTTCTAATCAGATTAAGCGGACTGAGCATACGCACAGCCTCTCGAACTCCCTTGCCAGCCATTTTGTCTTCCTCCAATGGATCTAATGAGCTTCTGACGGAAGTTCTACCAGAATATTTATGAAGTTTGGCAGGGTTGTTTGACTCCAGCTACATCATTGGCACCAGCATGTGGGATGCTCATTCTGCGCAGAAGAGAACAGTTGAAACGTTGACTTACGAACAATTTAGTTTAGGCAGCTCCATCATGTAAAAAACTGCAGCAATAATTTTAGAGGTTGCAAGCTCTGCAATCCAGAGAGCATTTTTTTTATGTGAATGCACATCACTCGGGAGACTTTCTCCTAACAGTTTCCGTTGCAATTGGCACACGTCTAGACTCACAGACCGTTCATGCTACAGTGGCTTTATGCCTTGGAAATATAAGCACATATGCAGTATAATGTGATCCTTTATTGACAACGTTTCGCCCACACAGTGGGCTTTTTCAGGTCATAAACAGATCTACCTGGGGTGGAAGGGACGCGAGTATTTATAGTCAGGTTCAGAATGCTGAGGTCAGGTGGAGAAAGCTGCATCTGATGATGTACCGAGTGGGGTTATAGAGTCTAAAATCTTGGGTAGCTTGGAAAGGAGATTGGATAAGTTTGTGAGCAGACCTTCTACAGTGTTCTTCCATTCCTGTGTTCTTATGTGGGATAGCGATGAAGAAGTTTCTTGGCGAGTGGTTCAGCTATGTTACAGAAGCCATTGTTCTGGTTGAAGTTGTCGGATATAGAAATAAGTGATGATTCCAGGATTCTTCGGTATTGAGTGCTGTCTTCTGTGGCGATAAGTCTTGAGTTTCTGTAGTTTATCAAGTGGTTGTGTGAATTACGGTGTTGTACACAGGCATTCCTTGTGTCGTCAGACCTGCTTGCGTATTGGTGTTCTGAAATACGTGTTTGGAGGTCCCTTGATGTTTCGCCCACGTATAATTTGTTGCAGTCATTACAAGGGATTATGTATACCCCTGCAGAGGGTGGAAGCTTTTCCTGTCTATCACTGGTAATGTCCTTGATGGTCGTGGTTGTGGAGGTAGATACTTGGAATGAGGTATTGGAAACTAGTCAATAAAGGATCACATTATACTGCATATGTGTTTATATTTCCATTGTGTCGGTATTTTATACCATTTATTTCCGGCTTTATGCCTTGCTGCCCCTATTCACACTGAGTGCAAGTGCATTTAGGACAAAGTAATAGCGAACCAGTATGGTCTGCAGGGTTTGAACTGTTCATATTCCAAAGGATGTCAACCATATCTTCAAGAGAAGAACACTTCCTACAGCCCTCTGCTCAGCCGAGAGAGAACTCTCGATCTTTACTACCTAATACTCCGGATACACCCGCCATCCACCCTGATAGCATCATATCCCTGGAAAATCAGTAGACTGCGCATCTACCCTGGCTGATACCTATTTAATATTGGTCAACAGGGTAGTGCTGATGCTGATCACAGAGGAAATCACAAGTCTAACAACAGACAGCACACAGCAGTGCCTTCTATGGAACTTTCCTATTTGAAGCCCCGTAGCTTAGCAATAAAGCGCTGGTACTGTTAATCTCAGTATCGCGATTCGAACCCTTCTGCCCCTCCTCCGTCCACGCTCTGTTTATCCACTGACAGTCGTTCAATATGACTTGAATTGAGTTCAAGCTTAACAAGGATAGGGACCTGGTCAAACAGTACCAACGCGTCTCTGTAGTTCTGCCACGAGTTTGAACCCCATTTGCATTGTGGTTGGTTTGCAGTCGTATTATTATTCTATATTAATTACCAGAAATATCTGCGTTGAATTCATGAGCTCTAGCCTGGGAAGACCCATTGTTTGTGGTCGTTGTCGATCAAATGCCAAGGCTGGAGACTCATACAAGGTCAAGTTGAGTGAGAGACTAACTGGCAGGTTATCATTATTATGATTATTATTATTAATATTAATATTATTTATATTACAACTTCTACTTCTACAACTGCTACTGCTACTACTACTACTATTATTATTATTACTACTACTACTACTACGACATTATATATATATATATATATATATATATATATATATATATATATATATATATATATATATATATATATATATATATATATATAAAATTAGTCGTAGCAGAAGTAATAATAGCATAAAGTTAGAAAGCAAAAGTGGTGGGGAATTAGACACAGGTGTAACACCTGGGTGTTTTGACTGAAAACGTTTTACCTTCCAGGGGCTTTCTATATTCGATGCAGGTGTTGCGCTTGTTTAGTTGCTCGTCTTGTCAGTATTATATATCATCACTGTGATGAGGAAAGTCATGTTATAATGGCGAAAGTCGTGTTATAATGACGAAAGTCATGTTATGATGACGAAAGTCATGTTATGATGACGAAAGTCATGTTATGATGACGAAAGTCATGTTATGATGACGAAAGTCATGTTATGATGACGAAAGTCGTGTTATAATGACGAAAGTCATGTTATGATGACGAAAGTCATGTTATGATGACGAAAGCCATGTTATGATGACGAAAGTCATGTTATGATGACGAAAGTCATGTTATGATGACGAAAGTCATGTTATGATGACGAAAGTCATGTTATGATGACGAAAGTCATGTTATGATGACGAAAGTTATGTTATGATGGCGAAAGTCGTGTTATAATGACGAAAGTCATGTTATGATGACGAAAGCCATGTTATGATGACGAAAGTCATGTTATGATGACGAAAGTCATGTTATGATGACGAAAGTCATGTTATGATGACGAAAGTCATGTTATAATGACGAAAGTCGTGTTATAATGACGAAAGTCATGTTATAATGACGAAAGTCATGTTATGATGACGAAAGCCATGTTATGATGAAAGTCATGTTATGATGACGAAAGTCATGTTATGATGACGAAAGTCGTGTTATGATGACGAAAGTCGTGTTATAATCCGAGGTCCCGGGAAGAAAGGTTTAGTCCTGCTTACTCAATGTTGTTTGGTAATTAATGAAGAGATTTAGTCAGTTGTGTTTCTTGCTCGTGTGTGTACTAGTGTGACTGGGGAAACTTTTTACCTTCCTCGGTAGCTTGTGTTTACCGGTGCCTTGTCTCAGCTAGCGCGTTTCAAAGACCTTTAGATACCAGTGATCTTTAAGCTTAATTTACTCTTTCTTTCCGTCAGGGGCGGCAGTAGCGGTGGCAGCAGCGGCGGCGGCAGCAGCGGCGAAAGTGACTCTTCGTGGGGCGGCGGCAGCATCTCCTTCGTCGAGCCAAGTTACCGACCCTCAAACCTCTCGGTCGGCGCCCGGGGACACCTCAAGATCGACTACTCTTGGTCTTGGGACCGTCTGGATGATTTTGTAAGGGCAACAAGCCCCAGGGGTAGCAGTTCAGACGACCAGAGGTCCGCTCGTGGACCTCGGTCTCCCCCCGGGGTAACCACGGGCTTCAAGGCCCGCCCCGAGGGCTGGTTCTCCCTCTGGGAGAAGTATTCAGACCCTGTGGCTGGCTAGAACCTCCCTAACTAAAGGCTCCTAAGAAACATGGCCAGCTAGAGTTTTCTGCCATTTCAAGTTAAGCTAGGATGTCCTGGACCTTAATGTCGACTTGGATCTATTGGGATCCCTCAAACCAACTAGGATCTTCTGGGACCCCTCAGGCCGGCTAGGAACTCCTGGGACACCAAGGCTGGCTAGGACCTCCTAGACCCCAAGGCCGGCTAGAACCTCCTGGGACTCCAAGCCAGCTAAGACCTACTGGGACACCCAGAGCAGCTAGGACCTCCTGGGACTCCCAGGCCGGCTAGGACCTCCTGGGGCCCCAAGGCCGGCTACGACCTCCTAGGACCGCTAGGCCGGCTAAGATCGTCTAAGTGAAATTACAGGCCGCTTAAATACGCAATCTACAATAATTTGAGATCTAGTGAGCCGTGTAGTATCTACTTGATGCATTAGATAATCTCACACGCCAGTCTACACTGCAGTCTACCTTGCACTGCAGTTTACCTTGCACTGCAGTTTACCTTGCACTGCAGTCTACCTTGCACTGCAGTTTACCTTGCACTGCAGTCTACCTTGCACTGCAGTTTGCCTTCCACTGCAGTCTACCTTATACTGCATTTTACCTGTCACTCTTGTCTAACACAACACTCTACCCTATACTGCAGTCTACCGTACACTTCAGTCTACTTTACACTTCAGTCTACCCTACCCTAGGTTTAAAATCTATCGACTACACAGGCTCATTAAGTGTTCATTATTCTGCACACCATCAGTCAGGTATACTTTATTTTTTTTTATCATGATTAAGTAAACTCTAAGCGTATATACGCTGAGCAATATACATCTCATGTATACATACGCAGGGATATACATCTCAAGTGTATATACACTGAGATATATATATCTCTCGGTGCATATACACTGAGATATCAACAGAATATTATACAGGGGATCCGAAGCGAGGTGGTCTGAGCAAGAGTCTATGTTGGACCATCCAGTCACTCGCCTCTCAAGCAAAACACCTCGGTTCGATCCCTCGGTCATTTTTCCTGTTGATTCTCAGTTGTTTATCACAATTTTACCTTGATATACACACTGATATACACTTGGTGCATATACACTGGCAGATAAACACCGCCTCTGTGTATATACATTGAGAGATATACAATTCTCAGTGAATAAATCTTTGCGCCAGTATATAAATGGATTTCGATTTAATATTCGAAATATATTTATATGCTGACTTCTGGAAAAAAAACAAAAAAAAAAAAGGAAGAGCGAATTGTTGGGTTATATTTTAACAAATTATACAAACTTAAATAAGAGAGAGAGGAATCATAAAACAATTCTGAATAGTACAGTATTTTCCGGCATATAAGACGCACCTTTTTTTCTACAAAATGTCTTGGAAAATTACCCTGCGCCTTATATGCTCAGGGTGAAGGGTAAGCTTTGGGTTACGTTTTAACTTTACGTAAAGTAAGAAGGTAATTAGCACTTGATTATGATTCTGATTTACGGTTATGATACTTATGTCGTGCGCCTTATATGCCGGAAAATACGTATGTAAAATTTAAAATTGTATTTAAAGTAATTAAAGTTTAAGGAATATAAAAGAACTCTAGAAGTGCAAATTGGAAACAATGTAAAGAATTAAGAGTAAACTATGCATAATCAAAAATAATAACTTATAGAAAAGATAGATTTATAGGATCACCTAATAAAAATTAAAGATAGTTGCATGATTGGTTAATTGGGGCTTTAAGGCTATCGACTACTCAGAGGGTCATTAAGGCTGCAGGTAACCTTTTCACCACCAGACAAGAGGACTTTAATACATAAACGGACAGTGATCAGAGTATTCTTTCAGCATATATACACTGAGACACACACACACACACACACACACACACACACACACACACATATCTCCCTCGGTGTAAACATCCTGGAAGCTTGTTTTTCTTGCGTGTTTAAAGAGACCAGAAAAAAAACAGAACACAGCATGTGAGGGTAGCCATGAACAACACAGCTGGATGAAGGCAGCCAGGTACAACACGGCTGGATGAAGGCAGCCAGGTACAACACGGCTGGATGAAGGCAGCCAGGTACAGCACGGCTGGATGAAGGACGTAATCTCCACAGGCATGAAGATGTGGGACCCACATAGCAGAACAACATTTCGCTCTAGGGAGAGCTTTTTCAAGGTCTCTTCAGAACGAACTGTTGTCTCGACAGTTGTTTGCTGTGCTACATTGTGTCTTTGTTGACACGAATGATAGGTTTAAAACGTATTGAATATATGTCGATAAATGGTTCAGAGAACCGACAAGTTGATAAATCAGGCACATATGCAACACTTGGATATCTTTGAGGAAACGTTCTTCACCATTCTCCTTTGTACGGACTGATGAAGCCACTGTATGGCGAAATGTTTCCTCAATAAAAATACCCAAGTGTTGCATAATGTGTATTGACTATACTAAGATCATTAAGGCTGCACTTGCTCACCATCAGACAAAAAGATATTAATCCCAAAATTAAAGATTAAAGCAAACTCTCAGCATATATACGCTGAGAGAACTACACTGAGAGGTGAATACAGGACGTTTAAAAAGATGGAGCCAATTTCAAAGAAGTTTGCTTTGAAATAAGGTTTATCTTGTGGAACACTCTGTATATCCCGTGTCCACAAATTTCTTGAAAGGGCGATGGAGGATTTAGAAGAGTAAAATATAAAAATTGAAGATAGTTGTGCAGGGCTAATTAGAGAGAGAGAGAGAGAGAGAGAGGAGAGAGAGAGAGAGAGAGAGAGAGAGAGAGAGAGAGAGAGAGAGAGAGAGAGAGAGAGAGAGAGACTCGAAATAAAAAGTAGCGAGACATAACTTTGATGACAGTTAATTTTGATGGAAAATCAATATCAGAAATATAACAATAAAAAACCAGAAGAAAATTGAGTTACTAATTAAACCAAAGACATGACAGTGTTACCAGTTAAGGAACAATAAAAATAGGTGGTAATAAAAAAAATATATTAGAGATTAGTTTTAATGAAGATATAGATGGAACAATATCAAAACATTACTCTGTATAGAGAAGAAATAAAGTTTGATGAAAAGGAGAAGAAAGATGGTTATTTAAAGTGAAATTAAATGAAATATTTATATAATATACAGCAACGCTGTATAGCCCTTGTGGTTTAGCGCTTCTTTTTGATTATAATAATAATAATAATAATAATATATAACATACACAGAAAAATATTGTAATAAGGAATTTGTATTAAAGAGCTAGAGATTGTATGAAAATTGTTACTGATAAATGAACACACACACACACACACTCACACACACACACACACACACACACACACACACACACACACACACACCCACAGGAGCCGAGTCTCAACCCCTGCAACCACAATTAGGTGAGTACAATTAGGTGAGTACACACACACACACACACACACACACACACACACACACACACACACCACACACACATACACACACACACACACAGGGGTCAGTTCTAGGACCAGTGCTATTTTTGATATATGTGAATGACATGATGCAAGGGATAGACTCAGAAGTGTCCCTGTTCGCAGATGACGTGAAGTTGATGAGAAGAATCAAGTCAGATAAGGATTAGGCAGGACTACAAAGAGACCTGGACAGGCTGGACACGTGGTCCAGCAACTGGCTTCTCGAATTCAACCCTGCCAAATGCAAAGTCATGAAGATTGGGGAAGGGCAAAGAAGACTGCAGAGTATAGGCTAGGTGGCCAAAGGCTGCAAACCTCACTCGAGGAGAAAGATCTTGGGGTGACCATAACACTGAGCACGTCTCCGGAGGCACACATCAACCAGATAACTGTTGCAGTATACGGGCGCCTGGCAAACCTGAGAATAGCGTTCCGATACCTTAATAAGGAATCGTTCAAGACACTGTATACTGTGTGATATATTGGAGTATGCAGCACCAGTTTGGAACCCACACCTGGTCAAGCACGTCAAGAAGTTAGAGAAGTACAAAGGGGAATTTCCTATGTTAAAAGGTTGAGGGAAATCGCACTGATGACACTGGAGGACAGAAGGGTCAGGGGAGACATGATAACGATATACAAGATACTGCGTGGAATAGATAAGGTGGACAGAGACAAGATGTTCCAGAGAGGGGACACAAACAAGGGGTCACAATTGGAAGCCGAAGAATCAGACGAGTCACAGGATGTTAGGAAGTATTTCTTCAGTCATAGAGTCGGCAGGAAGTGGAATAGCCTAGCAAGTGACGTAGTGGAGGCAGGAACCATACATAGCTTTAAGACGAGGTATGACAAAGCTCAGGAAGCAGAGAGAGGACCTAGTAGCGATCAGTGAAGAAGCGGCGCCAGGAGCTGAGTCTCGACCCCTGCAACCACAATTAGGTGAGGTGAGTACACACAGCAGACAGCAACAATGCCTGACAAGTCCCTCCATCTCGCTACATAGCAAGGAATTATCAAGCAACCTACTGGGTGGCCGGGAAGCTGCTAGTGTTATCTGTCCCCTGCATCCAGAAGTCACAAACAATACAACACACCTTCATAACACAAACACTACGAGTTACGTAGTTGTAGAGTCCTCACGCTGCCTCGCTTTTCTAGAGAACTATCTTATGGGTGAGATTTCCACACGTATTTATTTTGTACTTTGTTCCTAATGATGTTGGCGCTCATAGCCGAGGTACGAACTTTAGTTAAGGCACAGATAACAGCGCTAGATAAAGCACAGATACTAGTGCTGGTTAAGGATATTTATATATATATATATATATATATATATATATATATTATATATATATATATATATATATATATATATTATATATATTAATGTGTGTGTGTGTGTTAGTTACCACTGTGTGTGTGTGACACATTAAAGCTAGAAGACGTGACAAGAACATTACACATTAACATCTTCCAACTTTCATGATCTAGAATCTGGTTCCTAAAACGTTCCATGCTCCCCCTTTCCCCGCGGCTCTCCCCTCCCTTCTTCGCGGCCATCCCCTCCATCCCCTCCCCCCCCCTCCCCTCCCCTCCCCTCACGGTACCGAGCATATAACACATTCCTTATTCTTCCTTGGATTAAAAGTGTTCTTCTTTCGCAACCCAAATGGAGCCTAATTTAGCTTATTAATAAACATATATATGAATATTTGTGTATATATATGTATATGTATATATATATATATATATACACGGAATGTGGTTATGGTGTAGAGATGTATATTGTTTGAGACAAAAAGTTGTATTATTTTGAAAGCCTGTGATATTAAATGAATAAATAATGAAACGTTCAACATGTTTTTTTGTTTTATCCTGCGAGATTATGTAAACGCACGCGCGCGCACGCACACACGCACACACACACACACACACACACACACACACACACACACACACACACACACATTCATACTTACATATACTTATGTTACAAATATAAATATCTGCAGGACATACACATACATACACAAACTTTCATTCACAGAATATAAACACTTAAGTAAACTAATACTTTGACATACAAGAAGAAGAATATTAAGTATTACGTATGTCTCACTGTTACGTTTTGAGTCTTCAGAGAGGAGACCCGTTAGTAACAAGTGAAGACCCACTAAGGTCTTCTTACTCTTTTTAAATACACACATAAATATAAGGCAAAAAAGTTCTATAATGCTTTATCTGGTTTTATTCAGTATAATACTAAGCTTATAGAGTCACTTAGTAATTTAAATAATTGATAAAATTTAGGTATACCTTTTCTTATAAATTCATATGTACACAATCACTGTAGTTTCATAATCAAAGTCAAGATCAATGAAACACTAGATAGGGCGCCTTTACCACCTCCTCAATCAATTATATACACTACAGCTAGAACTGATTCGAGACTATCACGAGACTTTAATAGTTGGAGAACACAGACGTAGTGTATTGCTTCACTTAAATGACTGACTGCACAGACGCAACCCGTCAAGTATTCCGAGACTGAAGTAATCCAAGCAACCTTGGTTGAACCTAGGAATCCTGGTTCAAAGGTTCTCCTGAGACTTACAACAAGAGAATAATGGAGCTCCGTGGCTTGGTGCTCCGTGGCTTGGTGCTCCGTGGCTTGGTGCTCCGTGGCTTGGTGCTCCGTGGCTTGGTGCTTTCTCTACCAGAGGTGAGAATGAACTGCCATGAGTAAAACTCCCTAGCTTGACATCACCTCGGAATGAGTGAGTTTGTGAAGCATAAAAGACCACAAGGCAATTCAACATATAAACACAAAACATCCTACAAAATAAATCAATAATTCATGGCCAGATAATATAAAACTAGGAGTCTTTATTTTAGCTACGAATAAAGGTACCAGTAATATAATACTAAGTGAAAAAGCCGTAATTACACACTAATCAGTTGACCCTTCTTCAATTATGCACAAAGGGCGTAACACTCCTCCCGTACGACTGACTGTCGCACCAATAGAGACTTCAACTCATACAAGGCACACAATGCCTCCATTCTTTACTATATATCCAGGCAACTGCAAAGACAACATCCTTCGGAGTAAAAAATATTTTTCAGGGTCACCGTGAAGCAGGAGTCAGTCATCTAGAAGTGGGAACCTTTTGACCGGCTGAATCTTGCTCCATCCATGGGTCCAGCTGTCCCTGGGACCTGGTAGACGTCATCTGTACAGGAACCACATCTAGAACTTTATTCTTCCGGTCTCTTTCTAGCTTGTAACAGAGGCTTCTCACATGCCCTTTCTTCTGACAGTAGGAGCAGGTAGGTTTCTTCCTCGCTTTATCCACCTCCAGGTGGGGCTTAGTATCGAAATGTTCCCCAGCATTAGGTTTAAGAACGGCGTAAGGAGCCACCTGATGGGGAGGTAATTTCTGGCGAATCTCTTCTCTTGGCCGGTATCGCCAATCCCTAGGGGGTGTTCTCCTTACTTTCTCTCGAGGGGATTTATCTCTCGTTAACTGAGAGATTTCGTAATGATCAGCGAGCGAGGCGGAAGTTAAGACGTCCAAAGTCTGATGATCAATTAAAAACTTACGCAAGTCTCCCGACAGGGCATTATTAAACTCTTCCTGCAATATTAACTGAGTTAAGCTTTCCACAGAGTCACAGCCCGAGGCCCTTAACCACCTTTCCAGGGCTACCTTCTTCTGACGGGCAAAGTCTACCCACGTTTGCCCGGGTAGCCGTTGTAGGGTACGGAAAGTCTTTTTGTAGCTCAATGGGAGCAAGTCATAAGTTTCCAAAATTACTTTTTTAACGACCTCATAATTCACATACTTATCATAAGGCAGAGTAGCTGTACATTTTTGAGCCTTACCAGTTAAAGTTGTGCGCAATAGGGTGGCCCAATATTCCTGAGGCCATTGCATCCCTCTTGCCTGGTTCTCAAAGGTGTGAAAATAGGTGTCAAGGTCAGCTTCACTAAACTGAGGCACTAAAGATGCTGCCTTATGTAAATCAAAGGAGAGGTTCGGGGGAACCGTCAGTCTCACGTCTCTCTCCGCTTGTCTTTCACAACAGATTCTCTCTCTCTCAAATTCTTCTTCATACAGTTTTCGCTGTGCTTCTGAGCCGTTTGCAGATTTATGAGATGCACCATTCTCTTAAAATAGTCCAGAGAGATGGGTGTCAAGGGAATTGGCGGAGACGGGAGAAGAAACCCTTCCGGTCGTATCTTGGGCCGAGCTCCCGCTCCTCACACGGCATCATAGT